CTTGGGTTCTGGCGACAGAGAACTAAGCCTTTGTGTATCTTCGTGGTCTGCTCTGTGGGTTCTGAGTGATGCTAGATCAGTGATGGTTTTGCTGTTAAACTTGCATGTTGTTTGATCTTTCAGCTGTTAGTGCAGCTCTTCGATTTGGAGCTGGAGGAGCCTCCTTTTGTTCTTTGTGTGCCTTTTCTTTGGTGTTCTGGCTGTTTTGTTCCTTTGTTCTGATCTGTGTGTTAGTTTCTCACCAACAAGGAGGTTGGAGCTTCTTTTAGCTCCAAGCTCCTCTTTATTGATGTAATACTTTGGTTTTCATCAATAAAGCTTTTTATTTGCCGATCAAAAAAAATATAAGCGTGAGGGCACCCTCATCTCTAAAGCTAGCTTTGAAGGTTGAGTTCTATTCAAGACCGTGTAACATTTGGAACTACATACAAATTGCCTAGTAGGATAACTATCAAGATTTTTTCCAGCTCTGTTAACAGTAACTTGGTCCATTAGCTTTGGAAAATCTTAATCAACACCCATTCCAATCTAACCCATTTATGTGAACCTTTTGATTCATAAATTAATATGCTATGCTTCCTCAAAGACACTTATGTATGCTTTCCTCAAATCTTCTTTTAACTATTTTCTTCTGTCTTCTCTCCTAAGTCCACCAACCACTAGTTCGCCTTCAATCCTACTAGATAAATATTCATAATGACATAAGTACTACGAATACTTAATCTAGGCTTTTTCCAAAGCCTGATTTAATATGTTCTCCTAAGAGAAAAAATACCTGTTATTATCGTTAGTATGTATGGAGTATCAAAGGATGTGTCAACTTGTTTAGATCTACCTATTGTTATTATGGGATTATTTTTAATGAACAAGGAACATGAGATTTCCTAGTGGTGTGGAGATAGTGAACATGATACCAATTATAGCATCAATAAAAGAAATTCATGTCTTTATTCCATAAAATAGATTGTTAAAGGGACATTAATCAATAGAAACAATTTTAAAAAAGATGATGTTTACGGTTACCTAATCAACTAGAAAAATAAAATTTCCTACTGGTGGAGATAAAATTAACCATATCCAATGACCAATCAATTATTTGGCACTAATTATTGTCCTTGTCATGGCATCATCAATTATGTTTGTTAATTTTAGGCCACATTTGTTTCATGGCATGGGATTAGAGGGGATGATGGCAAATGAATACACCATGGGATTAATATATATCATGGGATTACTGTACTATACTGATTAGGGTAGGATAAAGGAGGAAGTAAGGTTTGAAATTTTTTTTTTGGCTTTTTTTTTTTTTTTGGGCAAGTATATTTTTTTGGCTATTAGATGGAGGTTGGCAGATATTCCATAGGTAGTAGGGATCATTTATCCCAAGCTGAAGTGGGATTAGTTATCCCTCATTTTGGAGGAAAATTAATCCAGTATGACTACTAATTCACCCTACTTTGGCCAAGCCAACCAAACAAGGGATTGGAAGGGATTGGGGAACAAGAGGAGAAGACGAGGGAGCAGCTGAGCCCCACACCGTAATCCACCTCCTTATCCCAGCAAACAAACGTGGCCCTACTTGCAATAAGACAGTCGAGATTGTAAACGGACATTATTTAGTGGAACCAAAGGTTGTGAGTCCGAACCTAAGAACAACCACTTTATGCAAATAATACCACAAGGTTAGGTCTGTACCCAATCTTTCTCTCCAAGACCTTCATCTAATGGAGGCTATACTGGTGTAACTTTTAAAAGGCATCTTGGTACAATGGCATGGCTTGCTGTTAGGTAGTGCAGGTTCAAATCATGGAAACAACCTCTCTAGAAATAGGAGTTAAGTAGTGTATATTTTGCCCTTCCCAGACCCCGCTTTAGCAGAAGCCTCGTGCACTAGGTCTCGCTTTTTTTACAATGTCAAAGCATGAAAGAGTTGTCTTTATAGGTCAAGAGGCAAGTAACAGTTCATTCACATCCATAGGTCAAATTTTGGATTTGGGAGCTATTCAGGCCCCGTTTGGGAATTTGCTATTTTAGTTAAATTTTTGGCTTTTACAAAAATATGTACAAAAAAATAAAGAGAGTGATATAACAACTTGTAGTAGTTTTTTGGCTAAAAACCATGGTCCCCAAATAGGGCCTCAATATCAAAAAATTCAGAACACTGAAAAGTACTGGGTTTGGATTTTAGAGAGCTTACAAAATAGATTTAAGTAAAAAAATGTGAATGCATATTTCTTCAGCTACTCTTATATGTAGATGTTATGGCAAAGGCGAAGATGAGAAAAACTAAAGCAAACCAAATACACAAGCACATGAGGATTTACAAGGTTCAGGATTAAGCCTACGTCCAAGGGCATAGAATGATGGCAGAGTTTAACTATGACCGTGGAGATTACAATGAGCCAGCTCTCTCTCTCTCTCTCTCTCTCTCTCACAGCCCTCTATTGAAAACTCACAAGATCATCACAAATCCTAGAACCCTGAAATAACCTAATATATACAAGGATTTGAAAATAGCAAACCAAGTCAAAACAGATCCAAATACAAATATTGGGTCGGGCCTATCATTAATAATCCATGCAAGTCATCAACTCGTTATAAGCATCATCCGGGTCGAATTCGAAACACACCCACAACAATAAAGTTGTTTGTGGGGTGCACCCAATTCCTTAAAATGCAATAAACCTGTACCTGAAGGGTCCTCTTTTATGAAAAAGCTTACATTCATGACAATATGACTGACAGGCAATGAAAGAAGATGACCTGATCACATGTGGCAAGGTTATCGATCCAAGCCAAAAGAAAACATATGGTAGTTAAGTGGCAATACTAAACATTGATGGTAATGCCTAATAACATATTTTCACCAATCATGAGTAGAAAACGAGGTTATTGCTTATTGGAGTTGGGTTGCTACATTCAGCTAATATATTGTAATGAAAGCACCACAGAATGCAACATAGCTTAAAGTGTTCAGTTAAGATGTCAGAGTTGGTCAAACCTGAAATATCACCAAATCCAATGAGAGCATGGTCTGTGAAAAACCCAATAATACATAAGTTGGCTGCAAATAGAAACACGTGCAAAAGTATTGTTGCTGTCATAGTTTAGCTGCAAAGATAAAGAAATCTGTGTGAAGAACTAAAGACTAACACAACTGCAACACTGTGTTTTTAACACTAAAAATTAAAGGGAAAAAAATAAAAGAAAAAAGAAAAAGAGATGAGGTTCCTTTTAGTTAGAACTTTCCTCTGAAAGGTGGACCTACCATAAAGCACTAGGATTGAACTTTTTGGGTCCCTAATGGAAAAAAGATCTTCCTCTTTGTCATATTATCTTTGAATTGATTAGGGTCCAACAAAATATTCTCTAGACTCCATCTGCTCATGTGGGTAGTTCTGATTAGAATACTGAGAATGGAAATTCCATTGTAATGCCATGCAGAAATGCATGTGCATAAACATGTCACATTGGGAAGGCCAATGGCATAACTATAAGAATTAATGCAAGTGCACTGGCAGATAAAATCTTCAGCTTGTGGGGTCTTGAACCCACTCCCCATTGGCCACATGATTTGGTCTACACAAAATAGCCAACCTAAATCTTGTAACTTTCTCTATGTTTCTCTCTACCTGCCTCAATCTCAGGCACTTTTAGAGGCTTCCTCTCTCACTTCCTCCTCACTGCCAGAGTAATCTAAATCAAGTTCTTTGAAGAAAGATCACAAAAATGAAGGTAACCCCAATTTCTGTTGAACTTTGGAAGACAAAAACTGTTTCCAGTATTTTATGACTTCATATTTGCATCTCTTGATTGCAGTTACTTGGTTGGATGCATCGCAAGTTAAGGCCTAGTGAAGCACTCAAGGATTTTGCCATTGGGGTAAGTCATGTTTCTAATCCTACCTTTATGAGTTGAGTTGGTTCGGCTTTTTCAATATATTGGTTCGACTCTAGGTCTTAAAATCATCAACCCGACATGAATGGGTTGGGGTGCTGTTTAAGCCACGCTGAAACTGAAGCAATCCAAGATCCGAATCTATATATATTGCATAAAATTCTAATGTTGTTGACATGTCTTTATGTAATTGGTCTATTGCAAATACTAAGGCGGACTTGATTGCACCTGATCATTTCATAAATAAGAGAAAAGTAGTGTCTAATCTAACCTTTCATTTCCTACCTTCATCCACTACACCACTACAAGCTGAGCCGCTGCGGGTGATTTCTCTATTCTTGGCAATCGTCTCCGAACAATATTTTGTGAACAATATTAAATTTTAAAACAGTACTTTGTTGCTTTATGTCTGTGTTACGTTAAAATGTTTAAGATTTGTTTATTCTAATCATTTATTGCTGATTGATTCACTTATTTTAGTATAGTGGAACTACGGTTCCAACCCAAACAAACCCGATGCTAAATCGGGTTGGCTTGGTTTGGTTTTGGTTCCAGTGCATGATTGGTTCTGTCCTGCACCCAAAAACCTGGGACTGATCATGATTGGTTTGGTTCTGAGTTCAAGGCTAACTAGAACCAAAGCAACCCATGTGCACGCCTAATCATATTTATGCCAATGGTAGTCATCTTCACCTTTATCCCAATTATTTAACATTTCTTCAGTCATGGAATTCTTCTAATTGTCTTTCAGAGAAGCCATCACTGGATGAGCAGCAGTACAACATGAAGGCAAACTATGGTACTAAGACCTTAGGCAAATCACAGAGATACAACCATCTCCGAAAATCATTTTCCATAGAAGAAGATGACTTTGAAGAAGAGTCATCGACTGCGATTTCTCAGCTCTTCCATGGTTTCCTTACCATTGGTACTCTTGGTTCAGACACAGTCATCGCTGACCCATCATCAACACCAACATTCGCCATCATCAACCCGCAAGGGTGGCCCAGTGGGTGAGGGAAGAAAACCTGGGGTCTGGGAGTTTGCTCCTCCTGGAGGTCCCAAGTTCGAATCCCACTCCCTACGGGCTACTGTGCGAGCCACTGGAGGTTTGCCCGGTCGTTAACTTCAGGGCCCTCAGGATTAGTCTCATGCTTCGGCTGTGGGGATACCTGAGTTATCAAAAAAAAACACCAACATTCGCCATCTCTGTTGAGAACATAACTGAAAAAGAAACAAAAGTAACAAAGTTTGATTTGAAGCTGATTAATGATGAGTTGGAGAAGGTGCTAGGAGTTGAAGGTAAAGAAGATGGTTGCAATGACTCATCTGGGAGAAACAGTCATGTTAGCACCATTACACTGAGTGGCAAGACATTGGAAGGCACAGAGACCAGTGGGAACAGAACAACAATGTGTCCACTCCAGGGCTATCTGCTTGGGTCAGCAATTGAGTTGCCAGAAACAAAGAAGGAACATAGAACATCACTTGGGGAGCTGTTTCAGAGGACAAAAATGACAGAGGAAAATTCTGTCGCTAAATGCGAGAGCGGAGAAAAGAAGGCAGACAAGGAAACAAATAAATCTGCTATACGTCTCATGAAAAAGATACTGAAGAAAAATGGTCCATGATTCCTCTCGGACCTCCACCACAGTGACTGGGGGAAATGTTATCTCTGCTTCAATGGAGACGAAACTGCATAAGGTATGTCTACTTCTAGTACTGAATGATAGATCTTCTACATGGGATATATGGAGCACTGCAACTCCTGACATAGTTTTGTTGGGATCATTGCAACATCATCTGTGATTTGCTTACAAAGAACATACTGTGTAGTGTGATCAAACCAATCAGATGATTTGCACCATCCAATCATTAACGTTGCAAGATGGTTCCTCCATTTCTCTAGATACACTTCAAGTCTTAATATGTGCTTATAACTGAATATCTTTAATGCTACGGTACTAGGAACACGAATTGTTCTGATACGAGAAATAGAAATGCAGTATCTAACATGCTCAGTAAGATACTGGTTGACTTGTTTTGATCACACTATTAGTATTAAAGGTACTCAAAATGCTATATTACAAGAACTCAGGTACAGTTGTTGGCTTTTGAGCATGTGCTTAGCCTTCATATTTGTCTAATTCCCATGTCCAAGGACATGAGAGCATGGCAAAGTATTGCTAATTTTTAATATCCTCCTTTTATTTTCAGGGTAAATGTGACATATAGAATTTCATACATAACATAAGAGTTTTATGCATAATTATATGTAAACTCAAATTCCTAAACATACTTTGAATTCTGCATTCAGTTTTTTAATTTTACAATTTGCTGCATGCAGATCCTCCACATGTTCCACAAGAAAGTCTATCCTGAAAACTCAACTTCTGCATGGAAATCAGATAAGCCCCATAAGAATGAACCAAAGAACAACATCACCTGTGAGGAGGGGTACTATGACGGAGATTATATGCACCCAGGTGAAGATATCATAATATTTCCCCATACAGCCCTTTCAAAAGAGAGCATACGATGCTTCAAGAGACACTCAAACCCATCACAACTCACAATCAGTGGAAGCAATTCAAATGGGAACAGCGAAAACTGGATCAATACAGATGCAGACTGTAAGTACACATATAGCTACCTTTCCCAAAATCTATTGTATGCTCCAGACTTCATGGTGATTATAATTTGATTATAGAAACTAAATTCTGAGCCCACAGAAGTTGGCATTTACACTATCACTTTTGGACTGATGAAGTTGTACATCCTTCAACTTATATTCTTGATAAGGACAAAGGAAAGACCTAGTTTATGTGTTCTGTCAGATATAATGATCTCCTTCTAACTGGCCTCATGTATTATGGATTTCATTATTCGAGTTGTGCAACTATTTTGGTTATTAGTCTGATTCAATTCTATTATTTGCACTGCAGACTTCGTGCTGGAGCTATAGAAGGAAGAAGCGCTCTTAAAGTGCGGTTATGATATATTGGCATTAAATAGTAATCATTTGGCATTATGTTATAATTTTTAACATAATGCAGTCAGACAATGTCCACTAGGATTGTGCCCTTCAACACCCACAACCTGCAAAAATGCAATCATTTGGCATTATGTTATAATTTTTAAAAGGAATATTGAAATGGCAGTCGAGTTCCTATTTCTTACTTGACTAGGAAAAATTGAAAATTGGCTCAATTTTTGTAAGTCAAGACGCACCTGTTGCCCTCCAGAATGCTCAACACTGTCAAAGAACTAATAACCATATTTAAACAGCAAAGGTGTAGAGATAACTAATAGCATCAAAGGATAAGAAGTAAACATGTACCATCCAAATGAAATTCATATCCCATCTTAAGATTTATCTAATTGGTAATTTCGATCATGAAAGTTTAGTAAAGTTAAGCTACCAAGGAACTAGGTATATTGAGGCAAAGCATTGGCCAAAATCAAGTGCCATATGCCCAACTGGGGAAAGCAGTAGACAGTAGTTCCCTTGACAACATCTTGAGCACATTGTCTAATAAAAGGACTTTTTAGCTTACACAATAACGAATTAGTTTACACAATTAATGCAGGACGCAACACAACATTCCTGATGAACGCCTAGGGGGAAACTAAAGGACAAGACCAATAGTCTTTACCTGCTTTGCAGCAAGACAGGTTTCTCCTTCAAATGGCCTTCTTCTTCACAGCAGATCATGCCAACTGCAAATACACTTTTCTGAAATAATAGGTTCCATGAGAAGCATAGATATGTTGTTTGATTAGCATACAAACTCAAATCAAAACTAAATCATATTAAAAAAATGCCATAACAATTTGGGAAGTGCTAGAAGTTGTACCTGAATTTCCATTTTTTATTTTCTTACAAACCTACCCTCATTTAAAGGCTCTCTCCCACTGCTCACACCAAACAGTGTAAATTCTCCATTTTTAAAGATTGCAAGTGTGTGCGGATAAGAGAGAGGTAGAAATGGAGCAACTATATTACCTGTGAAGCAACTGTAGGGTCAATTGCTTCCTCAAACAGACCAGAAGCAACAAGTGCTGTTGCATGCTTTCTAATGTGATTTTCGAGGAAATTGAACTAGATCATCAAAAAGACAAAGTTAGTACTTTGCACAATAAGTTAAAACATCTGTGCTATGAGATCCATTTAGTACCTTGTCTTCAACCATCGGTGACAACCTCCGGCAACCTCTGATGATCACTTCCGGCAACCTTCGGCGCTCACTACTGTCACTATCTCCTAAGATCTAATGACGACAGGAAAAGAAAAAGAAGTAGAAAAAGAAGAATAATGATAGAGAGAGAGAGGGAGAGAGAGAGAGAAGATAGAGAGGAAAAGGAAAAAGAAAGAGCTTAGTAGAAAATTGTTAGCCTTTGTATTGTAGATCAACATAACCATACCTTTACCGTCTACTCTTTGTTCTCTTTCTAGTGATAAATTTATCACTGATAAATTGATCCATCCAACATATTCATATCTACAATGATAAATTAGTGATAAATTCAGCAACAATATACAACATATTGAACAAATCAATGATAAATTTATTACTGATAGATTAATCATAATACATATTCATCTCTCTCTAGTGACAAAAATGATAAATTTATCACTGATTGTTTGTTAAAAAATTGCAAAAAAAAATTCTCATCATCATCATTACAAATTAACACAAGATTCAAAGACATATTCAGTAATAAATTTCGCAGTGATAAATGCATTTATTGATAAATTTCTCACTAGTTGTTTGTTAAAAGATTACAAAAAAAAAAAAAACTCGTCATCATCGTCACAAATCAACACACGATTCAAAGAAATATATCAGTGAAACTTTTATCACTAATACAACAGATTTAGTTTAAGAGAAATAAAAAGAGAGAGAGAGGGAGTGAGGAAGAGAAAGTTGATAAATATAACATGAACAAAAATCAGTGATAAATTTATCATTATATTAATATCAAAATTTCAGCAGCAGCAGTCCATAACATATGAAACAAATCAGTGATAAATTTATCACTGAATTAAGTGATAAATTCATTAGATTAGTTCAGAATGTTATATAAATGTAGATCTTGACCAACACATTGTAGAAAGAGTCTCGATCTCATTGGCAACTATGTACAGTACTAGATTGGCGCCGAAGATGGTAGATTGACATTGAAAACAACTAGATTTGAAGCCATTGGTGAAGTTTGATGTTGAAGATGGTCAATTGATGATTAAAGAAGAACGACGGTGATGGCAGATGAAGGATGAAGGATGGAGGAAGAACGACGGTAATGGCAAAGAGGAAGGAAGACGGCAATGTTAGGCGAACAAGTCAAACGATTGAGAGATGGTGAAGTATAGATCGGCGACGGTGGAGATGGTTGATGAACAGTGGTAGTGGTAGTGGCTGGTGAAGGTGGTGGTAGTGACCCGTGGAGGTGGCGGTGGTTAGTGACGGATGACGATGGCGGTTGTGGATGGATGGCCATGGCCATAACTACAATGGTGGTATCTTCGAGAGAGAGAGAGAGAGATGAGAAAGAAAAAGAGTCTTGGAAAAATGATCACGAGAGAAATTAATACAAATTGAAAAAATTAATAGGTAATAAATATTATAAACAATTAAAGATTTAGAGAGTGTTTGGGATGATTTAAATAGGGATTTTTACTAGTTGGTAGCAAGGCAAAATCGAGATAAAAAAATATAACAGGATTTCTTAGCGTATGAAATAGAAACTTAAGACCTAATGAGTAATAGATTCAATTATTGGAATTAGCTGGTAAAAATCTCAAAATTATATGGTGGACTTGGAGCAAATTTACTTGGTGCCTCTACTTGATTGTTATCGGTTAAAGTAGTGAAACCCAATACTTTTTGTTTGAATTTTGGAAAACAATTTAACAAGTTTTAAGTGATATATAGTATGTAATAGTACTCCAAGACTATCAAATAATCACTTAAAGGGTTTGATTGGGAAGTGGGTTGATTTGACTTTTTAACTTCTTGATTATTTTAGTTTGGGACTAAAAAACCTCATTTGAGATAGACTTTGTGGTTTTTTTAATTTTTGTGAGAGAAAGAATATAATGATTATGGATTGGATGTGATGTTTTGTCTTATTAGATTAAAAAACATATTTTATCTTTTAGTGACTAAAATAATCACCAACCCAACCCAAGTTGCCAAACAAAGGCATAATAGAGTTTTAAGTTCCTATCTCTTCCTCTTTGGAAAGATAATATAGATGTTTTCTCACATTATAATTTATTTTTTTTCATAAAATGACTCAAAATAATTAATGTTCATCATAAATAATGATACGGCACTAATTAATTGTGAAAAAAAGAAATAAGGAAAAGAAAAGAAAGATAACAGTGTTAAAAGCATTCAATTTATTAAAAAAATAAAATTGACGAAAGGCTAGTAGTTGTGTATGAAGGATGACAGCTTTGGAATATGCAGAGAGGATTCGATTAGTAGACCCACTATGTAGCAGAAATTATCTAATAAATCAGGAATATTTATGTGTCTAATGTCTATCCAATGATCTTTTATCATTTATTCATTATTATTTTTTATTTTTAAGGTCATATATTCATTTAATTTTTACTATTCATTAAGCACACAATTAATAGAAATTTTTTAAGCGATAGGATAATTTTTACAGAGATGTTTTTTCATAAGAGCTTTGTAATACAAATCATATTCTTCAGTATATTCCCTATTTTTGGATTGGAAGGCAGATGGTGGAGCAACTAAACTGACCACAAATTTAACCACCAATTAAATTAAAATAAAACACCCCTTCCTCAATAATGACCTAGATTACAACTGCCAAATTTGAATATGATTTCATGTTTTTATTTATAATTAGTTTAGAAAAAAAGAAAAACAAAAACAAAAAAATTTGTTAGGCAAACTATTCCTGAAAATTAGTTTTAAGGAATTTTTTTATTTTTTTTTCTATAAACACCTATTTTTTGAAAAAAGAATTCTAAACAAGTGTTAATGAGACACAAGGAATAAGAGGCTTATTGAAATCAAAACACTTCTTTTATTTAGCTGAATCCAAAATATTATTTTTTAAACATTTTTTAACTATTTCCAAGACAATTTGCCACAAAGACATTCATTAGCATTTGCCTTTTCAAAAATAACAATTATTTTCGTGCAAAATAAAAATGATTGTCAAACTTTTCATTGCTTGTATTTCTTAAAACATGAAAAGCAAAAATAAAAGAAAACAAAAACACAACCAAAAACGACTTTTCTTTTCTTTTCCTTTTCCCTTCTTTTTTTGGTTGGTAAAGAGCGAAATCATTGCCACCTTGAAAAGACAATAATAATACATTAATAGAACATCATGTTAGTAACATCACCTTAATTGTGATGTGAAACTAGTACTACATGACAGCACTCCCTAAACAGTCTTCATGGTGCTAAGCTCCTCCATTAGAATTTGGTGTCCACTATGATAGGTCCCTAGTTTGCTTCCAAACAAACTGATATCATTTGCAACTGCAAGCTCTATAAGTTTAGGGTTTACTTTTTTTTTGAAGCACTTGTTGAATCACTGCACGCGGTAGTTTAAGGTCCATATGCTTATAACTGAAGCACTGGTTGAATCAGGGCTTCCCTCGTAGTTAAGCTCCACGAAGAAACCCGCTCCTTCGCCCCTAGCCAGTCTTCCCGGATTAACACAAATGCACTTCGCTTGCTCTTCTCCGTCATTTTTATCCCCAATTGACAACACCTGTCCGCATAGAAGATGAAGAGTTAAATTTCATTCATACAATCCAATCTGCTCTAAGCTAGATAAGAAAGAAAACTGGTTTGCAAACAGAATTTATGTACAAAAAAGTCCACTAGAATGGCGTGTCAATGGCAGTTTTGAAATAACAAGTCACTTTCATGAGTCTTTTGATTTAAAATGAATGAATATCATTTTGACACATCATTCTGTATAACTATTCTGTTTCGTATATCCATCATTACTTTGATATAACTAGAACTATCATTTACCTTCACGAAATGAGCCAAGTCAGAGGATAGGATTAGGATATATAGATTACAAGGGATCTGAAGAGCCTCTGGAGCGAGAGAAAAATCCACAGGAGTATCTTCCATTGGTGGGTATAGAGGATAGAAGCTGTTTTTAAAAAGTAACCGTCTTTTCAATTGTTTAAACTTCTTAAATATCAAATACAGAAATTTCCATTAAGAGAATAATAAAAACATGCCTATGCTGGCTAAGTAGATGATTTGCAAGTCTATTCATGCGCTGCTTGGATCCCCCAGATGGATTCCGTGAGATCTCCTCTCCGCTAAGTTGTTTGAGAATATCCACAGTGCAGCAACGTACCTTGATCTGAAAACCCAAACTGTGATTGAAAACTAATTAGAGACTTGTACAATGTGTTTTAACTCAAAATGCTTCAAACCATTGTTTTAGAATCTAAAATAATAAGATTAAACATATTCCCCTGGGAGAACCTTAACTAGATTCTTTCTAATTCCATGTTGCTCTTCCAAATTGTATTCATCTCAAGTTTAGGGCATTCTGCTAATTAGTGTGTTTTTACTCCAAAAGTACGGTTTCAAGCTTTTTTGTGGTGCATGAGATTGATATAATGCAAAAAAAATTTCATCTCATCAATGCATTTTGAAGAATTCGGAGGAGCACACACAAACATGAAATTAATGTCTACAAGTACGAACAATCATAATTTAAGAATAAAGGCAATTAGTGATTACCCCATTTGCACTGAAAATCCCCGGATTTGTAAGACTGATTATTTTGAACAAATCTCAGAGATGCATTTGTAATTTATTTTAAAATAATTGAGTCATGACCAAATAAAAAATATTTTACATGCCTATGCTGGCTAAGTAGAAACTAATTGAAGTAGCTCCCCATAACTGAAAATTACAAAAGTTGTAACTAAGGTACATGATACACCCTCCAATAGAATTTTCTTTACGGAATTTCATTTTATTATATCCCTCTCAATTATTTACTGTGATTGAAAACTAATTAGAGACTTGTACAATGTGTTTTAACTCAAAATGCTTCAAACCATTGTTTTAGAATTTAAAATAATAAGATAAGCATATTCCCTTGGGAGAACCTTAACTAGATTCTTTCTAATTCCATGTTGCTCTTCCAAATTGTATTCATCTCAAGTTTAGGGCATTTTGCTAATTAGTGTGTTTTTACTCCAAAAGTACGGTTTCAAGCTTTTTTGTGGTGCATGAGATTGATATAATGCAAAAAAAATTCATCTCATCAATGCATTTTGAAGAATTCGGAGGAGCACACACAAACATGAAATTAATGTCTAGAAGTACGAACAATCATAATTTAAGAATAAAGGCAATTAGTGATTACCTCATTTGCACTAAAATCCCCAGATTTGTAAGACTGGTTATCTGGTAAGACAATGTAATTTCTTTAAAATTGTGACTTGCGAGACTGCAAACTGAAAAATGATCTGGATCTAGCAACCAGTTCAAAGGTGGGTTTCCCCTAGTCTAGTAGAATCATGCATACCTGATGTTTGAGATCGACTTGCTGAATATCAAAAGCAGGCTGCAGAATCAAAGCCAAACAACATTAATCTAGAAATTAACACTTAATTATGATCTCAATTTTTTGTTAACTAACTGGGAAAATAGAGATACTATATAAATTAATTTAGCAATAAAATTACCTGAGGGAAAACAAAGTCATGATTTGCGTCCCGTATAGATGGCACGAGAATCACACGTGCAGTAGAACCCATATATTCCACATAATCTTGAAGCTGCAAACCATTGGGGGGAAAAAAAATTTTAAAAAAAGAAAGATAAAATCTTCTCAAACAGGCAAAACTATCTAGTGTAGATAGATAGATACCCTTCCAAGGATTTCAAGACGAAACATTTCATCAAAGGTCCTGTTTACTGCTCCTTTCTTAATCTCTGGATGTTCAGAATCAATAAATGGTCCCAGCTACCAAACATAAAAAAATCCAACTTCTCCAGTCATTTATCAATGCAGATTACAATTTACAAGATTATTGATATGAAAAATGGTGGGTCTTACCAATAAAAGCAACTGAGGCTGCTTTCTTTGTGCATATGCTAGCAGCTCAGTTAGAGGTTCAAAGAACAAGTTGTCAGTTGTGGTAAAAGGACCTGCTGCAATAATCTATTTAAGATTCCAAAGACATGGACAAATGCAATATTAGTACAAAGAGCTTAAAAAGATTACCAAACTTAACCTAATATTAGACATAGCACATTCCAACTAATGGCTTTGGATTTCAAGTAATAAATACAGCTATGAGACTATCTGCCCAAATCCCAATATGGGTTGCATGCTCAAAGTGGGAAGTTAAGGTTCTTTTTTCATGATATGAAATTTCAGAAGTTAACTTCATGTATAGTACCATGTTTAGCCTCATGTGGGATGAGAATCAAAATTGTAAAGCTTACACAATTAATGCAGGATGCAACACAACATTCCTGATAAACGCCTAGGAGGAAACTAAAGGACAAGACCAATAGTCTTTACCTGCTTTGTAGCAAGACAGGCTTCTCCTTCAAACGGCCTTCTTCTTCACAGCAGATCATGCCAACTGCAAATACACTTTTCTAAAATAATAGGTTCCATGAGAAGCATAGATATGTTGTTTGATTAGCATACAAACTCAAATCAAAACTAAATCATATTAAAAAAATGTCATAACTAAGGAGCACCTTGAGCTGGGTTGTACCCTCTTTACGATGTCATCCTCTGAAATCTCATGATCATGCTCTTTCTTTACGTTTTCTACATTAGGCAGGTCATTGAGAGTGGATTGCACCACAAACTTACTCTTTATTTGGCCAAAGGGCGTCACAGATTCTAAAGGCATTATAGAAGAGAAAGTCTCCCCATTAATTTTGCGTATCGAATCAAATGGTTCTAGAGACTCTTTTATTAGAGAAATGTTACAAAATTATGCTCTTTCTTTACGTTTTCTACATTAGGCTTGTTATCTATCTGTAACAGGAGACTCTTTTATTAGAGAAATGTTACAAAATTCACTGAGAGAAAAAATTTAAATAAGGAAAATAAAATTCATCTAAATGATACTAATGGGAAACAAACTTCAGAGAAAATTATATGGGCTAGAGAAAATTAGAGACAATGAGTTAATTTTACAAGGTAGAGAAAATTATGAAACAAGCAACATAATTTAGATATCAGAGAAAATCAATCAAGGCATATAAGTTAATGTTTTACTATAATTGTGTCAGAGAAATTTGGATTCCGGAGAAAATTCATTAGAATGGTAGAAATAAATAGTGTTTATAAAAAATGCAAGGCACATAAGTTATGGGCAAAGAAAATTACACACAATGAGATAAAATTTTATGGGCCAGAGAAATTATGAAACAACCAACATAATTCAGATATTAGAGAAAATCAATCAGGGCATATAAGTTAATGTGTTATAATTGTGGTCAAAGAAATTTGGATGGCAGAGAAAATTGATTACCGTGGCAGAAATAGATCAATGGTAACCAAAGAAGAAAACATAAATTGATAGTTCAGAGAAAATTGATCTTAATCAATCAATGCACAAGGAGGGAAACAAAGCAGTGGTCTGAGAAATTTTGGAATTTCACTGAGATTTCAGTAGCAATAGGAATCTAACCTGTCGAGGTGCAAGAGAGTGGACTGGTGTCTTCTGCAGCTATTTTGTCAAGGTTTGCAGGTTCCACTTGGCATATCTTGGGAAGTCAGTTGTGTTACTGTCTTCCGAGTCAATGATAGTTGCATGTTCACATAGCCAATACTGTGATGAAAATGAAAGTAAATAAAATTTTGTAAACGCACAAATTTGTAAGTATGATAACTGCAAATTTGAATGGATATTATACTTACCAGCAATGCAAAGACACACCCCCACCTCAACTGTTGAATTGTTTTTGTATCGTCTTCTTTTTCAACCTCCAACATCCTTAGTTTCATTCGGATTGTGCTTTCTTTTTCTTGAAGTTCTGAGTTATGTGATGTCATTGTAGAAGCCGGATATAGAGTTAGGATGAAACATGAATGACGAGCCGATATGGCCCGAGATGAAGATGCGCCGTGATAAAGATGGACTGAGATGATGATAGGGTGAGACACAAGTACAATGTAACAATGATTGCTACATCTTTGAAGTCAGTTGGTTGCTTGCCTTTCATTGCTTTGACCAAGGCATTTTTAAGAACAGGACCAGTGAGCCTTGTGTCCTTTTGGAATCTTCTCCTGAGGAATGCAGATTTTGGCTTTTTAGAGTATCTTAATGACATGGCTCCTTTACCTCCTTCCAAACCAAAAATCAAGGTCGTGTCATTTATTGTAAAGGTCAGGTTCTTCTTACCAACTGTGAATGCTTTTGTTTTTTCATTGTAACATTGGATTATGGCAACTACATCATTATCGGATTTCCTAGATTTCTTTGGATTCATCCTTCCAGTGGTTAGAGCTTGGATCAAATACCAGAATGGGGTATTTTGAAGCTCTAGAAGTTGTTTTGAATTGAATTTAAGTGTTTGAAAAAAGGAGACGACAGATGAGAGGTTGGATCGGAATTGAATGCTGTAGTGAGCTCTCTTTCTATGGAGTTTAATAGGTTTTTCCCCCTTGAGTTTGAGTCTTTTGAAGTTGGGGTACTCATCTAGATGCTAGTTTCTTCATCACCTTGGACTTGTGTGTTTTGGTGAGGAGTTTGTGGTGTTTTGCTGCTGGTTTTTGATCTTAAATGATAAGAAGATTGAGCGAGTTGTTCTTTCTTGCTTGGTGTTTCTAGTGTTTTGCTGCTGGTTTTTGATCTTAGCCCATAAGAAGATTGAGAGAGTTTCTGTTTTTTGCTTGGTGTTTCCGGTGTTTCGTTGTTTTTACATTTTGCCATTTCTAGACAATGATTAAAACATAAAGATGTCAACATTAAATCCCAGAGAAAATTGGACATATTAGAGAAAATTACAGATAAGGGAGAAAATTACAGAAAATAAAAAATTGGAGATGCCAGAGAAAATTACAGATAAGGAAAAATTACAGAAAATTAGACATGCCAGAGAAAATTTGACATGCTAGAGAAAAATGGACATTAAAAATTAAATGTCAGAGAAAATCAACACAGCATCATAACACATGGGAGAGAAATTTTCAATAATTGTTAAAATTACATATAGAAGTAAACATACCAGAGAAAATGAATGATAGAAAAAAGTAAACATAGCAAGTGAAAGAAAATTTCCATTCCACAATTAGCAAGATAGAATAAACAAAGTAATGTAAACATACCACTGAGAATTACACCATATTGAAACTAAGAATTGAACAAAATAAATATACCAGAGAAAAATACACATTCCGGAGAAAATTACACATTCTTGAGGAAATTTCCATTCCAGAGAAAATTTCAATTCATAATATTAAAATGCAAGAGAAATTTACATACACAACCAAAGAAAATTAACCATGATTGAGACACACAAGGGAGGAAAGTGGTGTGATGTGGTCAGAGAAAATTATAAATACCAGAGAAACTTAGACAGGGGCAAGAGAGTAATAGACATTGCAGAGAAAAATACATATGCTAAAGAAATTTACAAAGCAGAGAAATTCATAGACAAAATCACAGAAACATGTTCAAGAATAAGATCAAAATTCAGAGAAATAACTTTTTCTCAAAATACACATGGCAGAGAAAATTCAAAGAAGAAACATTCATTCCAGTCCATAATATTAAAATTTCAGATAAAATTAAAAATGATAGAGACACACAAGGGAGGAAAGTGATGTGATGTGGTCAGAGAAAATTATAAATACCAGAGAAACTTAGACAGAAGCAAGAGAGTAATAGACATTCTAGAGAAAGACAGACATTCCAATTAAAAATACATATTAAAGAGAAATTTACAGAGCAGGGAAATTTATAGACAAAATTACATAAACATGTTCAAGAATAAGATAAAAACACAGAAAATTGTTTTTTTGAAAATAAACATGCCAGAGAAAATTGAAAGAAGAAACATACATCAAGCAAAAATCAGAGAAATTCAAATGCCAGAGAAATTTACAAATAAAATCACACAAACATGTTCAAGAATAAGTTCAAAACACACAGAAATAACTTTTTCCAAATTCAGGTAGCTTTTTATTACGAAATTGAAACCCTAATTTATGGAAGGTTAACATAAAATGCTATTAACTGTGTTTCCAGAGAAAATCTAGTTGTATTGTAGAAAAACTGACCAGAGTTAGGATGAAACTTGAATGACGAGCTGATATGGCCTGAGATGAAGATACGACGTGACGAAGATGGACTGAAATGATGATGAGTAGTGAAAACGAAGCTTTAATGTAGGTCAGAGAAATTTGTGATGAAGGAATGTGAATGATTTTTGCAGAAGATAACGAAACTCTAATGTCGATGGTGAAGATGATGTTGAAACCCTAATTCTGTTGCTCTTCTGTTCGTGAAGATGCTGAATGTTTGGAATGGAACTCAGATGTCGGAATGAGTTTCGTTTCTGTGTCGATTTTGGCAAGGGTATTTTGGTCCACAAAATAATTAAAAAAGCGCGCCAAGTTATTCAGGGACCTGATGCATCACTATTTTTTTGGGTGTCCTTTATCCTCTAAATTATTATTATTAGGGACCTTAAAAAAAATTCCCCAAATTCTAAACCCTAAAATAAAAATAAATAAATTTTAAGAATTAAACCCTAAACCCTAAAATAAAAAAAATAAATTTTATCTCTGAACACTAAGGTGTCGTTTGATAACACTTACGTTTTCAGTTTTCTGTTTATCTTTACAAAAATTTTAAAAATTCAAAAAAAAAAATTGTTTGGTAAAATTTTTTATTTATAAATCAGTGGTCTCAGTTTATAAATTTGGCCAAAAAATAAAAACACAAAAAATGTGTTTCCATTTTGAGTTTTCAGTTTTTTTTTTTTTTACCACCCAACACTAGCCACCACCTGCCACCATTTTCCACCACCGTCTTCCAATTTATATTTATTTTTATTATTTATGACAATGGAATCACACACATTATAATTGAAAAAAAATTAATTAAAAAAAATAATTGAAAAAAAATTTAATTGGAAAAAAAATTAATTGAAAAAAATAATTTAAAAAAATAATTTGAAAAAAAATTAATTGAAAAAATAATTATTTGAAAAAAAAATTAATTGAAAAAAATAATTGGAAAAAAATTTATTTGAAAAAAAATTAATTGAAAAAATAATTAATTGAAAAAAATAATGGGAAAAAAAATTATTTGAAAAAAAAAATTGAAAACTGAAAACATAAACTTATTTTTTGAGTTTACGTTTTTTCTTCAAATTTATAAACTGCGACAACCATTTATAAATAAAAAAATTATCAAATAAGTTTTTATGACAGTTTTTAAAATTTTTGTAAATATAAACTGAAAACGGAAAACGGAATAGTTACCAAACAGGAAATAAAAAAAATTAAGAATTAAACCCTAAATCGTAAACCCTAAAATAAAAATAAAATAAAAATTTAAGAATTAAAATAAATAAATAATCATTTCATATAATTGATTATTATTTGCTATTATAAATTATTATTATATATATTTAATATTGATTTCAATTTTATAAAATAAAATTTATATATATTAAAAATTATATATGTTTGATGTGAGTGTGAGTGTAAGTGTGTGTGTGAGTGATGTGTGTGTGTGAGAGAGAGAGAGAGAGAGTGCGAGTGAGTGCGTGATGTTGTTTGGTCTATTATGGAAAGCGTGGTTTTAAACCATGTTTTCTTTACAACACAGCTTAATTTAAGAAAGCGTAGTTAGAAACCACGTTTTCTAACCACGCTTTTTTGAAGAAAAAAAAATTTATTTAAAAACATGGTTAGAAACAACGCTTAATTTATAAATCAAATTTCCTTAAAAACATGATTTGTAGCTACGCTTTCTTAATTAAAAGCATAGTTTGTAACCACGCTTTTACGATTTTACAAATTTTCTGCAGTTGGGTTACAAAAACAGTGAAAGCGTGGTTTCTAACCACGTTTCAGCTTATTTTGGAAAATAGCTTGGTATTTTAGCTTAATTAGGGAAAAGCCCCTCTTCTTCTTGTTAATAGCAAATAGAAATAATACATCCCTCTAATTTGGAAGTTCTAAAAGAGCACTAATGATGTAGAAAATCATTAAAAAAAAAAAACACCAAGGCGAAAACATTACATCACATAGAATCCACACACTAATTAAAGTTATTAGAGTTATTAATTTAGAGCTCTTAATCTTTTTTCTATAGCAAAAAGGAATGTTAGTCACTTAAATATTTTATTAAATGTTACATATTTGTGTGAGATTCACCTAGGTTCATTTTGGCAAACAAGTTAAAAAAAACTAGTTTTTTAACTGTTTTTAGTCAAAAAAATCAATTTTTTAGTCAAAAAAAGTTAATTTTTTTGTTAAAAAAGTCACTAAAAAAGTCAAAAAATCATTTTTTTACCAACTTCTTAAAACACTTCATAATATAAATTCTACACATATAAAATATTTAATATCAAATAATTTTTTTAAAATTTTTAATATTTTTTATATAATATAAATTTTACATATATTTAAAATATTTAATATTTAATAAAATATTTAAGGTTTCGAATATTTTTCTTTTAGCAAATGACTTAGGCTCCTCTAGAGTAGACTGGGAGGCTTCCCGCTGCCGCCAATGGTCTAACAAGGTTTTTATTTATTTATTATTATTATTATTTTAATTTGGGAAGGATGATCTACATATTAGTATTTTGAGTAAATTATTTATAAAAATATTATAGTAATTTGATAATTTTAGTATTTTAGTAATATCATTTAAATTATAGAAAGAATTACATCGTAGTTAACAAAAAAAAAATAACAATAAATTTACATAAATATGTAGTTGCACCCCATAGCTTTTGAGTTCCATCCGACACATAAAGAGTTGTACCTTTGTTTTACTATTTTTTTTTCAACTAAAATATACATAAATGGTTTATTTTAAAATTTTATACTAGCAATTTTTTATAAAGATAAATGATAAAATATTATACAAGTTACATTTTTTTAAAGATAAATGATGAAATATATGATTGTAATTATTAAATTAATTTAAATATTTTTAGTGCATAATTTATTTACAAAGACTTATAAAATGAACTAATAGAACCGTGATGAATCTACAAGCTTCAACGCAATAGATCCAGTTTGGAATGTGACCCAACTCATGGTAAATAACTCTGTCTTCTAATGATAAAAAATGTAAGAAAGATGGTTTTTAATTTTTGAAAAAAATACAAGATTTTTTAATTTATTTTCATTAAAATTATCAACTGCTATCTATTTCATAATTTTTTTTTATCTTCATCAAATGCATATAAGAAATACAATTTTTTTGTTACTTTATTTTTTATCATTTTCACTTTCTATCATATTTTTTTGGTATAACAAAATAGATCTAAAAAAAAAAAAACTGAGGCTTTTTGAGAAACACATGGCAACGTCAGTCTGGAAATGTTATGGTTACTTGAAAATTTGTTAGCCCCAATTAAGGGGATCTTACTCATATGATCATAATAAGAGAAACACTATGGTGTACACTCTTCAAAAGGTGTATACTATATGTATCCTATCATTAAAAAAAAGATATAATTTTATACTTTCTGAGTTATAACTAAAAAAAAAATCATAACTAACATAAGGTATAATTAAAAGTTTCATGAGTTATAACTAAAATAATATCATAATTAAAGAAGAAAATTAGTCACAGCTAAGAAAGAAAATGATATAACAAAGATGCATATAGTACACCCTTTTTCAAGGCGTGTATATTAGAATTTCCCATAAAAAGAGAGGAAATTTAACATTCATGAGGCCTAGTACACAAATAAGGGACAATTGTCCTAATCAAAACATAGCCCAATCATCAAACAACTTAGCTTAAGAGAAATGGTAGGAAAAAATGGCACCACATAGATCAACTGATGCAATTGCATTTATGGATATTCCAAAGGCTACCTTAAAATTATAGCCCCATCGAAATAAACTTGTTTCCATGATCTTCTCAGATAGGAATGTAAGTTGTCATGATTGCAACATTTTCTATAATTGAAATCCAGAGAAGAGTATAGAATGGAAAAGAAAAGAATAGAGAAAATGTTTCTTGATATTCAACTAGTACTAGTGGAAACTGAATTCAAGATACAGTTACGAAAGGTCACCAGAGAGCATCGTAGTTCAAATATTTTCAGAGAGCCTGAGATTTCTGGCGCTTCGTGTACTGGAGGATGGGCTCCTTTACCTGCAAAAGAAAAGAAAGTCATGAATAGAACTGTTGAGAGTATTGCCTATTGTTAATCAGCCTCCATTCTGATGACAAAGTTGAAGCATACCGTGCTTGCTTTCCTTGACTGCTTGTCCTGGGTGGACCTACTACAGATAACCGTCTCAAACTCGTCACAGTGATTGCTATTTCCATTTGCTCTGCCATTCTCGTTCCCTGGTACAAAACTCTCTCTTGATGTTGCTGGCTGCACAAAAACCACAATACAGTTTTTATATGTTTGGTATATTAGGTGAGAAAATAAATGAAACAATTGTGATCACTCTGTCACTTGGGGATAAAAGAAAAAGGCACGATTATGTTTTCTCACTATCATGTTTGAATAGGAAAGTAAAGCATATGAAAATAAAGATATATCGGGGAGATTTTTTTTATTCCTTCTGTAATTTTCATGGGCATATGAAAAATATACGGCCAATTGATTTTTTGGTGAGAAATTACAACCAGTCGATTCATCATTTTTGGTGAGAAATTGAGAGTGACATAATAAGAGACTTCTCACCCTTTCATGCTATTTCTCATCTGATTTATAAAAACATGAGACCAAAAAAAAAAGTTCCATTTCCCATAATTCTTATCATTTCTCATCAAATCACTCAATCCAAATGGACTAAACTTCCATGAAACTTATGGGGTGACAGGAATTAGTGTTTATAAGTAAAAAGGAAGCAGTTCATGATTTGATAGACTAACCTCAGCCCTGCTTGTGGGTGCATTTCCTTGATCCCTTGCCCTTGAACCATTCTGTTCGCTTCTTAAAGAGCCATTTTGATGTGTCTCAGATCCGCCTCTCGTGCTCGTGAGATCTGATCCAATGGAGTGGAGCATCCCACAGGTGGACATGTCCCTGTTGATCCCTGATCATCAATGAGCATTCTTAGTTTCTATTGTTTCAAAGTACAAAAACAACTAGATAATGAAGAATAAGCATGCAAGTATTCTGATCCACTTACCGATTTTCTGAAATTCAACATGGTTGGACTTGTTATGTGATTCATTAATATCCAAATCCTGTTTTATTTAATAGAGTTTCAAATGATCAACAAAAATATATTTGAAGTTGTGTGCATTAATAAATCCAAAGAAAATTTTAAATATCACCATGGCATCAATGTCCAAGACTTTCTTGACTTCCATTAGCTTTTTCTCAGTCAGATCAGAATGGATCACACGTTTGCCTGTGACATTTAACGGCAAAAAGTTTAAGAGGGAAATTTTATTCTGCCAAATTATGCCAGAAACTAGGGAGAAAAAAATTAGTTTGAGTGAACACACCTAGCCTCCGGTTGCTTTTGGCATCAAGAAACCCATCACGGGTCATTTTATCAATTAGCTTGCGCGCTGTAGTCTTGTTGGCTTCTCCTTCAAGCTTGTCCTGAAGCTTTGTAGCAGTAATGTAGTTCATTGGAAGAGCATGATACAAAGCCTGTGATTGGAATGTTCATAATAATAAGTACACCATGCTCAGCTAACATCACACCAGTATCTATTGATTGGTAAGCCATGCTCAGCAATCACCATGACATGTTTTTATTGGAACAGAAACTGCCTATATAAATAAAGAAAAATGCTTGGGAGCACTAATTAGTGCTCCCACTAATTAGGTGGCAGTGGGTCCCGCCATTAATGATGTGATGTTTTGGTAAGTACACCATGCTCAGCTAACATCACACCAGTATCTATTGATTGGTAAGCCATGCTCAGCAATCACCATGACATGTTTTTATTGGAACAGAAACTGCCTATATAAATAAATTAACTAGTTTAGAGTCCTATTTCCTTGTTCCAAGGATAATTAATACGACTCACCTTCATGTACATGTGATCTTCGCCCATACCCTGATGAGCTTTCTTCCCATCTGGGACATCCATTTCTTCTTTTACAGCATTGAATTTATAGGCTGATTCCTAAGATTGTGGTTTTGTTACAAAAATAAAAAGCACTATGAGCCAGCAGTAACAAGAATATACGAAATTCAGACTGACAATGAAAAGAATTAAACAACCTTTTGCTTGTTAATGGTATAACTGTCGGTTCCACTTTTAGATAGGATACCTTCCTTAACTAGCTTGTCCATAATTTCTGAAAAAGAAGAAAAAAAAAATTAAAATTATTCCATAGCTTAATGGTGCAGGATGGGGATGCCTTCTTTTATGGGCTTCAACATGGATCAGATCCTCCATTTACCTTCTATCAAAACCTGCAACCATCAAGTTTCATACCAATATTAAGAAACTGTAAGATTCAAAAGAAATTGTAAATAGTTGATTTAATGAGCACTAGTCTTTAACACCACCAATTGAAGTATAGGAAAATGTCTTTACCATTGAGATGTCAGGGAAATTTGAGAGAACATTAGTGAGCTCAACAGTGGCAAGGTGATAACAACTGATCCAGTCCTTTACCCGGCCTAATTGGTGTTCATCTTCCACTGGGTCTTCAGTATCATCTGCCAATTGAATATTGTATAGTGGATTATGATATGCCCTGAACTTGTTCTAATACAATCAGCATGCTATGTCGTTTAACTGAAATCACCTTCATCAACCATGCCATTATCATCACAATTCTGTTGCTTATCTGTCAAAAGAACTAATGTCATTCACATTTCAAACTTCAGAGACTACTGGAAACACCTAATACGTAAACAAGCTGAAACAGCCGAGCACAAAGACATGTAATTACCTATTGGCGCGACTATGTATTCGTTATCTTGCGAATGGCTAACCTGAAGTGGGTTACAAATTGACAAGTAGTTAACTAAACACTTGTGCTATATGGTAAATCAAGCTTTCAGCAGTTAGTGAAGCTCATGGAGAACAAACAGCAATGTAATGTTAACACAGTACCTCACTGTCAGATTGAGAATGCTCATCCCTTTCTACAGAATCAGCTCCCAAGCTCACATCATCGTCTTGAATGTCATCATTTTCATCCTCACAAGGATCAAGCACACTCTTAACCTGCATAATTTCCAATTACAAAACCCAAAATTTGAACAAGGGATCCAAGTGTCTCACTGTTCCTGCAATCTTACATCTTTACCTTGAGAGCTAATACAAAATGTTTGCTGTTGACATTCCCAACCTCCATTTTCAGAGGATTTTTAGTCCATGGGTTATGAGGTTCTTGTTCTGTGCAGCTTCTGAAGAATGGAGGCTCGTAATCCACAGGCTGCAAGATCAATAAGTCAGTGATCATGCTTTTCATGGTCAAATATGAACAAACAAAAATAAGGATTTTTAGATGCATTATTGGACAGACTAGTGACAAGCCAGAACACCCCAAACTCTGTAAGATTCAGATGATGCTTTATCTTTGTTAGCATTTCCCATTCCAGCAGTTTTGCAGTTTGAAAATTACATAATTCTAACTGCATGGACATGTATAAGTTGATATTATCATTGGACTACTATCAGACAAACAAAACACACAAGTAAGAAATGTATGCAGCTTGTAGAGAGATAATAGTGCTTGTGAGTTGCATTATTTATTTCCTCAGCCTTTTCAGTGTGTATCAGATTTTGTTTGACTATTCTATGCAAAAAACATTTCAAGAAAAAGATCTATGGAACTGAAAGTCTAAGGGAACACCAATTAGCAAGATGAAGTACAAAAGAAGCTAATTAAAGTTAGGGCATACCGTAACATCGTCATAGTAGAAGAGTTTCATTAAAATAGTCCGCTGAAACAATAATCAAATATCTTAAAGTCAAAAGCATTGCATTTAACATAAGCCACACTATGTCATTCCCTTTAACAAAGTGAAAAGTGCATCCAACAGGTAAAATCCTAAAGCTATCTCTCAACTCAGTCACTGGAAGTGTTACCTCTTCTGGCATTCTATCCAAAGTTCTCATCAATTGAACGAGTGTACGGACCATTTTGCAAGCAGAACTCCTGGATTGTTAATTTGTATCACAAACGAGGATATACATGGAAGTTCAAAATCTTGCCAACAAAAGATTGAGTTATCTGGCTTAAGTACCTCATCTGATTGGGAGTAACTTCAGTCAAGGAGTTGCACTTAAATGTTCCTCCCTGCTTGTTTCCAGTGCGATTGATCTTCATTGAAACCTCTTGGCTTTCAGAATTAGAGTAACTGAAAGCAACTGCAGCAGAAGAATTATAAATTTATTTACTATTCTAATAATGCACAGAAGGAAATCTACAGATACTAAAAGATTGGCACAGGCATTGCCATATAGCAGAGTCATTAACGTTACTTCTGCATATTTTCCTGGCAATCATTGATAGTTCCAAAGGAAATGCGATTCTTAAAATCTTACATGCATATTCCTCAATCATTGAACCTTCCACTCCTTCACAAACACAGAACAACAGTGTCCGTAGGTATTTCTTCTGCAATGCATCATAAACACCTACAAAAATTAAGAAACACAAACAGATTAAGAAGAGTGTAAGAACATTTGAGTGTACAAAAGCTATCAGATCAGCAAAATCTACATGCCTTTCTCCATCCAATCAATCAGTCTGCGAGACTCTGCATCCATTGGTGTAAGCTTCTTGATCTTCATCTCTGTTCAAAATTTCATGATTGTTCAAATATATTCACCAACGAGAACTTAAATTTCATAGAAAACTTGAAGTAAATCTGATGATAACAAGCTCACCTAAGGCAGGAACAGACTTATCATTGAAATATTTCTCAGGAAAAAGGCCTCTGATGTAACTAATGTTAAAAATGGCAATGCGCAGCAGATTCCTCGTCTGTCTCAGACAAAACCATTAAAGAACATGAGATCAACACTGAATAAATTAACAACATCAATAAAGTTTTTGAACATCCATTTTTGAAACATTAACAGGAATACGGTATAGGTTTTGAACTCCAGGAATACTGTAAGCTTCAGGTACAAATTAACAGTCAACGGTTGTTCATCATATCCTCTTTCTTCACTAAAAATCAATGTACTACAATCAACAACGCAACTTCAGTTTATCACTTAATTTTATGGGCAATCTCCCTAATCTCCAATAAACAACCAAATCATATTTGCAAGACATTATAATTTCTCTCTAAATGTGAAAAATTTAAAGTATTTCAGATCCAAACTCTCTGCAACATAGCTAGCATTTGCAATACGGAAAAATTGTTCAATTAATTACAGCAGAAAACAACATTTAGTTTCGATCTGCCATGCATTAACCGATGCAATCATCTGAGCATAACAAAACTAAAATTCAAGTAGAAATCCAAATTTCAATTAACAATGAAGAAAAACAGATTAAACAAATCTACATATATAAGCTAATATGATTATCAGGAGATGAATGAACTACTAAATCATCATTGTAAAACACTATAATTTCTCTCTAAATCTAGAAAATTAAAGCATTTCAGGTCCAGACTCTGTGGAATATAGCATTTGAATACAGAAAAGTTCACCGATCAATTACCATAGAAAACAACATTTACTCGCGATCTGCAATCTATTAACCAATAGAATGATCTGAACGTGAGACAACTAAAATTCAAAGTAGAAGTCCGAAATTCGATCAAATAACAATGAAGCAAAACAGTTAAAACAAATCTATATCTATAATAATACGATTATTATCAGGAGATGAACATCAAAATCTGAACTATACCAGAAGAAGCGAGTCCTGCTCGGTGATCTCCGATTCCTTCACTTTCTGTGCAACAACCTGAACGATTGAGAGAATTACAGTGAGTTCAGATGATAGGAAACAAATGATCGAAATAGAGAGATGAAGAAGGCGCGAAGAGATGAAATGCGAATGAATGATTCGAAGAGAATTGTGTTCTCACCATGTTTACGGATTTCACAGAGAAACTGAGAGAGAGAGAGAGAGAGAGAGAGCAATTCAGAGCACTTGATTTTGAAAATTTTGAAATTGAAGCGAAAAAACGAGGGAAACTAGCGGGAGTAGAAGACGTTGAGCTATATACAGTCGCATGAAATTTAACCATGGTTATAAGGGACCTAGCTGTGGTTAGATTGAGCAATGCAAATCGCGTTAGGTCCTTGGGGAAAGTTGGTGCGTAAATATTGGAGTGGTTAGGATTGTTAAACCAGTCCAGTGGCTTGACCTCGATTTGTGTTATGCTTGTTAAAAGTTTGTTGGAAATTAATTTGTTAAATAAATAGGTTAAATTTAAATATAATTTTAAATTTATTAATTTTGCAAGTCAAGCTTAAAAAAATATATTTGAGATTGGCTTATTACATAAATAAATTAAGTTTGATCATAATTTTAAACTGGTTAAGTTGTCAAATTAAATTTAAACAATTTACTACTTGATTTGACTCATTTTTAATCATATGTAACGGTAATATGTCACTATCTAATGTGCATTATTGATTTGTACTAGAGATCATAAAATTGTTCGTTAATGAAAAATAAGAATTATCTACTTAATTTTTTTTATAATATTTTATTGATGAATGACACTACATAAAATGATCCTTACTATTATACACAATTTTTTTTCATAGTTAACAAGTTGCATTTGCTTGCAGAGTAGGGTTACTTCAGTCTTTAAAAACATAAGATGACACATGCCATCAATTTTCTCAGTATTTCTATAGACATGTTTTCTATAACTTTTCCTTTATTTTTCAATAATCAATTTATTCAAACCTTTTCTGCCTCAAAAGATCTATGGAGAAATTACACAAAATACTTTCACACTGATTTTTAAAAAAATAAAAATAAAATAGAGAGTGGTTTGGTTTGGTTTCAAAAAAAATTGTGGAGAAAGAATTTAGATTTTTTTTGATTTGTTTGGTTATATATTTTGAAAATAGTTTTGGAATGTAAGAGTTTGGGATGATTTGATATTTTGTTGTAGTTGAGTAGATGTGTGTGAGAAAAAAATGATTGAGAAAGAGAAATGAGAAAGAAAAAGTGATTAATTGATTTGAAAGAGATAAAAAGTGATTTTGAAAATTTTTTTTCAAAATCATTAAACCAATTAAAATTTTTAAAAAAAATTTCCAAAATTTATTTCACAAAACCAGACCAAACAAGGCCAAAGTTTTCCATAAGTTCCACCAATCAATCTTGGTGTCGTTTAGGAAGTGGGTTGGCTTTTTGGTTTTTTTTTACTATTTTAGCCTGGGGCTAAAAAACTTGGTTTGAGAAATTTTTTTTGACTTTTTTAACTTTTTGGCTTTTTGGTGAGGTGTCTTCATGTTAAATGACCGAACTGCCCTTGAAGTGATTTTTACATGTTAACCCTTTGCCTTACATCCTCCACGTCAGCGTCATTGTACCGGAAATTTTTTATTTTTTTTTTGTTTGGATTAGGCGTATTTTTATGGTTCTTTTTTTTAAAAAAAAAAAAAATTTATGTTTGTCATTTTTTTTTTGTATACATTAATTTGTTCTTTTTTTTCAATTTACGTTTTTGTCTTTTTTAATTTTATTGGTATACATTAATTGGTTTTTATTTTTCAAAAATGGATTTTCATGTGTTTTATTTATTTTTAAATTACGTGACAAATGCTAATTTTTGTTGGCAAAAATATTAATTCATGTTGGCAAAAATAAAATTAATTTATGGTACAATCCCCAAAAAATGAATTTTGGCAAAAAATTCATTCCTGTTTCAATGTTGTTCCTTACTGTTGACAGAGTTAATTTTTCAATCCCAACATAATTCATTCATGTTCAGTGTTGTTCCTTCATCAATTTCGCAACATAGAAACAGAAATTATACCAATTTCAAAACAAAAAAAAAAACTTCAACCTCAGCGCATCAAAATTTGTGAAAGGGTTATCGAAGCTCAGTTTTTTTTTAAAAAAAAAAAAAAAAAACATAATTTACATAACCTGAATATGCAAAAATTGACCATTCGAACAAAAGAGATATTAGATCTTCAGTTTCAAAAAAAAAATAAAAATAAAAAGGAAAAACAAAACATGATCCTAAGCACAATACAACCAAAACATTTGTTGAAGTTATATGCCGAAAATCAGAATTTGTCATTTAAAAAAAGAAAAAAGGTTTTTGCCGTAATTCATGACAGATTAGTGGGTTTGTGTGTGTGGTGAGGCGATGAGACATGTGTATCAGAGTGGGATCAGGCAGTTTGGTAATTTCAACCTGCCATGGGTTCAACATTTTCACGTGAAACTTATTTTGGATGGTAGTGGCTAAATTAGTCTTTTTTGGACGGTAGTGGCTAATTTAGCCCAAAATAGTCTTCCCAAACGGCACATTTACATATTTTAGTGTGGTGAAAGGTAAGGCGGCCCAACGCTCCTGTAGCCTTTACGTGAAATCTCAAATGATTATTTTTTATAAATAATATAATTTTTTAAAAAATATTTGTTTTTGAAAAGGGTAATGCTAGGGACACCAAATTTTCTACCAAACAAATGACCAAATGTCTCACATGGGTGTAGGGTCCGCAATTTTGTGGGCCCCACACCCATGTGAGACATTTGGTCATTTATTTGGTAGAAAATTTGGGACCTCTAGCATTTTCCTTTTGAAAAATTCCTTTGCATAGTTTTGCAGTTAGTTATAATAGCATGTACCATGATGGTCATAGGGCCTTTGGATATAAGTTCTTATTCAACCCCGAATTTGAAAAAAAACTGAAAATCGAGAAGTGATTGCCCAACAATCGAGAAGTGGAAGGGAAAGAAGGAAAAGAAAAAAACAAAAAAAGTCAAAACGCCGTCGTTTCTGAAAATCGAGCCATTCGGGACAATGGGTTTCGAGCTACAATACATTTTCCAATTAACAATTTGTAAAGCGGATTCAAATTAATCAATTCCATCACATTGGAAACTAACAATTTGCAAACTCTAATTAATTCCATCACATTCCATTCATGGGTAAACAAAGCGAAACTCAAATTAATCAAGCAAATTAGAAACTAACAATTTGCAAATTTTCATGAGCTAAAGCTGCTCTTCCTCTCAAGCTTACACTGAAGAGTTCAGGGTTTAGCATTCATCTAAAACAACACACCAATCCTTCACTTTTTTTTTTGTTTTTTAATAAATGTTATACATAATTGAATTTTTTATATCATTTTCTCATTCTAAAATACTAGGCAGTGGGACGCACTTCTATTTAGATGTGAGAAAAATTAATAAAAAATAAAATTATACATAACTTTTTATTTTCTTTTGCACAGAACACACCGAATTACAACCTGCAACATTGCTAATAATATATATATATTTTTTACAGTTTCTAATTCTTTACTTTGGGTAAAGTCAGATGCTTACAAAGAGCAATACCGGCGCATTGCGCGACAAGCCAGTGGCTTCTTCATCTGAAGAGAGAGCCTAAGGCATTCCAAAAGATCCACTGATTGGGCTGGAACCCAATTGAATCGGTGCAGAAGATGTGCGAGCCATAAGTGGACCGTGGCTAAGCCCAGTGCCCTACCCGGACACACTCTGCGGCCCGACCCAAAAGGCGCAAGCCTCAGATCTGAGCCCATGATCGAGAAGTCCAACTCAATGAACCGTTCGGGCTTAAAGGTCCACGGGTCTTTCCAAATGGACGGGTCGTGGGTTATGGCCCACATGTTCACCATCGCGGTCGTGCCAGCTGGGATAAAGAATTTGTCGACATGGCAGTCGTGGACCGCGAGGCGGGCCCATGAGAGTAATGGGGCTGGAGGGTGCAGTCTCAGGGCCTCCTTGACTATGGCTTGCAAGTATGGGAGGTTTGGGATGTCGGAATCTCGCACTTGCCTGTGGCTGCCCACGCACGTGTCGATCTCTTGTTGAGCCTTTGCTTGAATGTCTTGGTGTAAAACCATTCTGGCTATGATCCATTCCAGAAGAATAGCAACTGATTCTGTTCCTCTAAATATCATCTCCTAAAACATTATAAAATGAAAAATTTAATTAGCATAAAAATGATCATCTATGTTAAAGATTTATTATTTAATTTATATCTATATTTCGTTCTGTGAAAATCTGAAACCTGATTAGATTTACTCGAAGATAAAGTTCTCATATGACTTGCAATAAAGAGTTCTATCGTACATAGCACTTTGTCATGTTTGTTTGGGTGGACATGAGCTTGGGATTGGACTAATAGTCCAATAAAATTATTAATCTGATGTTTGGTTAAACAATTGAAGTACGGACTAATTATTTTAAACTTGACTATTAGTTAAGATAGGATACATAATCCAACGGATTCGTAGTCCTAGGACTATTAGTCATGGAAATGCTAATCTAATCCGCCTAAACAAACATGGCCTTAAAGTCATGCAAAAAGAGAGGCAAACTTTATGACATAGTTATTTATGCACTATTAAGTAAAGCTACATTTTTCAAGGCTCAAACTAATAAAGCTAATTCTGCTATAAAAAAAAAACTAATAAAGTTAATAAAGAATCAAATGATATAACTGTGCATGTTTGAATGTTTCACGATGTGGCCAAGCATGTCAATAATAGTGTGTACATGCATTATCAAATTATAATTTTGTTCTAAAAAATGGTATATATAGCAGAAATTTTTATACAAAAATCTAATCCAGTATTAATAATGTTTTCAAAATTATAAGATACAACTGTGAGTTTTGATTTAGAATGAAAAGATTATAAAAGATCACATTATTATATTAAAAAAGAGATTAAATTATACTAACCACTCTAAGAGTCACTACAACGTATAAAAGTTTTAGAGACCAAATTTTTTGGTCTATAAAAGTAAAAATTTTGTTGTAAAAGACATTTATGGACCAATTTTTATCGTCATGAGGATAGTCGCTAAAAGGTCGTCCCGAAAAGTAAAAAACAAGGCTTTTAGCGACAAAATTTTGAAAATGTCATTAATTAATAGATTTTTAGGGACACAATAATTTGGTCGCAAAATGATTTATTTTTTGAGACAAATAATTTGGTCCCAAAACGACAATAATTATCACTAATGTCTAATTTTCGTTGCTAAAAATATAATAACAACATTTTTTGCAACAAAAATATTTGGTCTCTAAAAAATAATTTTGTCCCTAAATTTTAGTCTTTAAAACTTTAATTTTTGTAGTGAGTTTGGAAAAAAGATTATTTAAAAATTTTACGAATTTAACATAATTATACTCACGTATCTTTTAATAAGATTAAATCATTTGAAACTAATGCAAATAGTGTGTAGACACAACGACAAAAGGTATAATATATATCTTAATATAAAATGATGAAAATATCAATTTTTTATACGACTAACTAATTGTTGATAAAAAATGAACTAACTATTATGTGAATTGAAACCTTTTTTTTTTTTTTTATAACTAGATATTCGGGCCAATTTACACACACGTCAACTAATCCTGACGTTCTAAAATTAACGACCGAACAAATCTTCAGTAGCTCCAAGGTTTCAGATGTTTGATTTTCGTGGGATTTGATCCGGCGACCTCTTAGATGGTATATGTGAACTAAAATTTTTAGAAAATCTAATTGTGTCAAACTTATAACTCAATGTACTTTTTACAATTCTCAAAAGTAGTTAATATAATTAAGGATTAATTAGACTTTGCACCAAATTCTATTTGATGTGTAAGAATAAAATGAAATTTGATATAAAGTACAAAGGTACAAAATATAATTTATCTTAAAATTAACCTAAAAATTTATATACAAGAATTTTTAAAGTATTTATTCATTTATATATATATATATATATATATGTTTCTTCCATCCCAAAATATTAATCTCTTATTCCATTTTTCATTATCCCAAAATATTAGTTCATTTTCAAAAATTAAAGACTGAACTAATATGAATTTCTTATTTTGTCTTTCATTTAAATTCGTTAATAATACAAAAGAATAATTATGACAATTAATATTCTCAAAAAATATACTATCAAAGGATAATTTTGAAAAATTATTCAGTGCATTTGGTTTGAGTTTTTAGAATTATGTTTTTTAAAAATTGAGTTTTTTGATTTTCGTATTTTTTTGTTTTTAGTGAATATTTTTAAAATCTTAAACATTTTTTTTTTTACTTTTTTAGATGCACCTTACTTAGATGTATCTAAAAAGTAAAAAATTTGTGAAAAAATATTTTTAAAAATTAATAAATACATAAAAATATAAAAAAATGTACTGAATTCTCGTATTTTTTTTTATATTTTTGGTATTTAGTGAATTTTTAAAAAAAAAATTCAAATTTTTTTTACTTTTTAGGTATATATATGTTATGTATGTTTAAAAATTAAAAAATTTTTTTTACTTTTTAGGTATATATATGTTATGTATGTTTAAAAATTAAAAAATTTGCGCAAAATATTAAAAAAATTCAGTAAAAACAAAAAAACACGAAAAATAAAAAAGTAAAATTTTCTGAAAAATATTTTTGAAAAATGATAACCAAGCATAGTGATTTTTTTTAAAAGTGTAATAATTATATTATTGACAAAATTAATTTTTTTAAAAAATAGTTATTATTTTGAAACGGATGAAGTATATTTTTTATTGTTGGATATGAAATCTAAAGAGTTAGAATAAAAATTGAGGGTTTTAATTTTAAAGTTTTAATAAGAGTTCTAATGATGTGATAAGTTATAAGGTCCACATGTAATATGATATGCTTATATTTTTTTATTTTTTTTTTCTCTTTTTACATCACTAAATTTTTTTTTAAAATTTAAAAATTAAAACTTTTAATCATTATTATTGGGATGTTATCCACATGCCAATAATGGCACCTAGTAACCTAGCAGCACTATCTATCTAGTCAAAGTTGTTCCTAAAGTCTATGTAGACCTATCATAATCTTATGATGATCTCTGCTGACAAAGCGGGGTGCAAAATCTTTACTGATATGACACCAATTTATACTACCTGCATTTTCAATGAGAGTTTCATGAACCATGAAAAATATCTGAAACACCTACCTAAGCATTTTTATAACAGGAATTGTTTGAAACTATATAATTTGTTTTTTAATTCTATTTACAATATTTTATTAGGGTAAATATTAATTTTTAATTTATTATACGATTGAGAATCCCATTCTTTTATTGTATCATTATAAATAAATTTATAAATTAAATATATAAGTTCCTAATGTTATTCTTTCAATAATTATTGAGAGGTTGTTTGCAATGATTTAAATAAGTGTACTTTTTGACTTTTTATGAAATATGAGTTGGGTTTAAAGTGATATGTTAGAGAGGCAATATGACTTAAATAAGATAATGTGACTTAAATAAGATAGTGACTTTTTGATTTTTTTCAAACATGTCAAACCAAGCCAAAATCTCTGTAAAAGTATTACCAACTATTTGAAAAAATTGTTCATCTCTTCCAAAATCTTGCTTTCATTACCTTTCCTTTTTCTTTCTCTTTTTAAAAAGTATATTATGAAATATTTTTAAATACATGAAATTCAATAATAGAATGTCAGAGAGTAGTATTCAATTTTATAATTAGATTTTGTATCTTTAGTCTCTTTCTAATGTGAGACAGTGGTATTTAGGGTTGTATAATATACTGCCTAATCCATTAAAATCGCACCGATCTGCATCTATCAACACCACTCTATTTGCTAATTACGGATTAAACTTTAAAATTTATAATCTGCCTTTCAAATCGCTCCGCTTTGCTAGTTAATACATATATATTTTTTAAGCTATAATGAAATATCAAAATAAAAATAAGTGTGAGAAATATTTAAGATGTGAAATTTGTTATAAATTAGTAGTTTTATATATAAAACACATTGTGTAAAATTAATTTTTGTTATATTTATAAAATATTATGCAAATTAGTATTATATATTATGAAAATATTTGATAATTGGTCAGAATATTTTTCAATCCGCCAATTCACTCAAAACCGTTTAGACCGCAATTTGTCAATTCGCTAATCCGTCAAGTTACCATTCAACTTGTAATTTTACTCTCAAAATGTTCGAATCGCACCGCACACACTTCTAATAATATCTAATTTTATCAATTTTATGATCAAATTTTGCGTATATAGCAAAACTGAAGTAATATTCCAGAGAAACATCAAGGCTGAGTTAACTCTGTTCAATGTCCATTTTGTGATAATATATCTACCGGGTTGTGTTATGTGCATAGAAACTATTCATAAAATGATCAGAACGGTTCACACGTAAGACAAAATGATGGGTTTAGTTGTGGTATTTACATGTGAAACTGATCCTCTTATTTCTTGTAGTATCTGAATTACTCTATAAATGATTTATGTACAAATAAATTTAAGAATATCTACCACCTTTATTTGTAATGTGGTGCATCATGAATATTTAATTCGTGTTCAGTTAAGAGATGTTATAAATTATAGAAATATATCAATGAAATTCTTCTTTTTTAAAACTTTTAATAGGCCTTTTAAAGTGATAGAGTAGGTTTTATTTTTTAAAAAAATAATTTATATAATATATGTGATATTTATTGTGTGAACAAATAAAACAATAAAATACTTCTTTATATTTGAAAACTTTTCATGGAGAGAGAGAGAGAGCTTTTACCCACAAGACAGCCACCATGTCTGTATCACTGAGCTGATCCTCCAAAGATAGCAAAACACTAAGAAAATCATCTCTTCCACTAAACTCTCTGTCCTCTCCTTTTCTTTCTTCAATAATCTGACCTACAAGAGCCTTCACCCTTAGGGCTAATTTGTGACACCTTCTCTTCACCCCATAAAAATCCAAAAACCCTAGAGGAAAATAATCTGCCAAATTAAATTTAGCAATTAAATCATACCCTTCATTTACCATCAAACCTAACTCCTCACCTTGTGAATTACCCAAACTACCCCCAAACACACTCTCTGACATATTACTCAAAGACCCCATTTGTAATACCCTTCTCACTTCCACAACCCCTCTTTCCTCCATCTCCCTCCACACCCCCACCGCCATTTCATTGGCTAACCGTCCCCGGAGGCTCTCGAGACCGGAGATTCTCCTAGGAGAGAACATGTAGGTAGCAGCGATTCGCCTGAGGTGACGCCAGTAGTCCCCAGAGGGGGCAAAACCGATGGCTCGCTCGAACATCAGTGAACGAGCCGAATCCTTTATGGGTCTGTTTGAAAATGAAGACCCACAAAGGATTTCCTTAGCTGTTTCTGGGTGACTACTGATGATCACAGGATTGGAGCCTAGGCTGAATGCCATGAGACGAGTTGCGCCGAATGAGGCTGCCATGGTGGCCAATTTACGGTGAGCTAGGGTACCCATTTGAGGTATGGTGCCTAATAAGGGCCACCCCATAGGACCATTGAGTTTTGGAGAGGTTTTTAGGTCATAATAATGATTTTTCCATGCAAAGCCTCCTGGGACTAGCCATGAGTTTAGGAGCAAAACGAGGAGAGAGAAGATGGTGAGAAGGAATTGGAGAGAGAAAGGCCAGGGAGTTTGGTGGGTGGCTTCAAAACTTGGGATGAAGAGGAGAGAGAAGATTGCTAGCATGAAGGGCTTCATTTGGAAAATTTGATGAAAGTGCTTGAAAAAGCCAAGGGAAATGTCTAGAGATGGAATGTTGCTGTGAGAGGGTTGTATGTGGTGTGATTTGAATATATAGTGCCTGGAAAGTGATTTGGATTAATGATTTGGGCTATGATGTTTTGCACTTACATTATTTATTCTATTTTAGTGCACTACTAGATACTATTTCACCTCTCTTATAAAAGTATATATTTTTTATATTTTTATTGTTTTTGAGTCATATTATTTATTTTATTTTATTTTATTTTCTGTGAGAAAGATGATTAAAAAATTTAGATTTTAACTTATTTTGAATCATATCATTTATCTTATTTTTTTACATAGTTTTTCAAAAAAAAAAAAAAGTCAAAAAATTAAATTTTAACCAACTTTTCAAAATAATCCTTTGTATATCTTTTCGTAAAAAAATAAAAAAATATACTTATTTAGATCATTATAAACACTCTAATTTTTATTTTAAAAAAACAATGCTAAAGGCATCTAAATATGAATAGACAAAATATATTGGTAGAACTCACTTCTCAAAAATTCTATATCCATTTGGTTTCTGTACAAGTACGAAATAATCTTCTTATATAATCCTGTTGATTAAGTTTGCACTTCTTCAAACGTCGTTGCTTTATTATTTAAAAATATAAACGTGAGCTAGTTGGCGGGGGTGTGCCAGAAACCTCTCCGATGTCTAAGTCAGCAGAGTAGATAATAGACACAAAAGCTCTATGCATTTGAGAGTAAGAATTGTGATACCTGCACATAGGTCCTGTCATGAGCTTTTATAGATTCTGCCTAGTACAATCCTAATAAGATTCTAACTCTCATTAGCAGAGTCCTGCTAGGAATCACACTCCCAAGGATAATGTCTATTCTAAAAACATCCTACTCATTGCCAATCAAGTGAGATAGTTGCATCTCTTATCTCGGCTGGTACCACACTCAACCGAGCTTACACAGCTTGGTGCTGCTTTAGGCAACACTATCGTAGTCCTAACCGTGAGATTGCACCTGCAGAGCTACCCTTAGCTCGATCCTCCTACCACTGTCACCTCGATCTTCTATGGGGTTTAGCTTGGGATAGCCAGGTCAGGCCCCTGGCAGCCCATCTCTGACCGACTTGACGCATAGATGATCTAGAACCATGCGATCCGAACATTTACTTCGACCCAACATCTAAGATAAAATGAACTTAGCTCGGCCCAAACTATACACATAAACAACAATGTTACAGACCACTAAATTTCTACCACTAACACCACCATTAATGATGTGGCAAGTAAAAAAAAAAAAAAACAAAAACTAAGACACAAAACACATGTGGCAGTGGGTGAGACCCACTGCTACATCCCTAGTGCAACCATTAATTAGTGGTCTGCATCATTTTTCTACACATAAATTACCCTCTCAGTTTCAATGTCTACTTTTGTGTTCAAGATTTATTATGATTAAATGTAAGAATTCTAAAATATGTAAATCTTGAGACATGGTTTAATAATTAAAATTATATTAGAATAGAAAAATTAGAACACAAGAATAAAAAATCAATAATGTTATATTTATCATATTTTTATACAATATTATGGCAACATTAGTTTAATGAGTCTCACGCACATGCGTATAATGTATTGTTAACAACTAGACTAACAAATCTTATTATAAAATAAGACAATATAAATACATAATTATTGTAATATTACTTTTCAAAAATTTAAGGGTAAATTATAAATACATCCTCTGAGATTTGATTAAAATACGAATTATCTTTTGTGATTTTGAAAATTACATTCCATCCCTTAAGGTTTCTAATTTCATAACAAATCGCTCATTTTATTAATAAATTATCAAGTTAATTAACAGTTTTTAATGATGTTAAAAATATTTTTCAATTAATAATTTAGGTAATTTTATTATTGTCACTGCTGGAAATTAAGCTTTTAGTGGCGTTTAAAAAACGCCGCTATAGCTATCAAAAACGCCGCTAATTGTTTTTGTGACGTTTAGTACCAAACGACGAAGACGCGACCGTCGCTGTAGCATTATGATGCTTTAAAAACGTCGCTAGATTAGTAAATGTGATAAATAATAGTAAAATGAGATTGGATCGATCGAATGATGAATCACCGAGCTGAAGAAGGTTGAATCAAGTTGAAGGAACTGAAGGGCTTAGAGAGAGAGAGAGAAAGAGATAGAGAGAGAGTGAGAGATTTGAGGGATTGGTTTCTTTGGGACTCTAGGGTTTCTCAGATTCAAATAAGTTGTGAGAGATTTGAGGGCTTGAAGACAGAGAGGGAGAAACAGTGTAACACATTCGAAGGCGCTTTTCAAACGACTTCATTATTTAAACGGTACCGTTTTAATAAAAACAAAATGTGACGTTTATAAAATGCCATTAAATATTACAAATAGTGGCGTTTAAAAAAACGCCGTTAAATAAACGCCGTTAAATCATATATTTCCTGTAGTGTGTACAGGAAAATAATTATGAATTTTATTTTTTTAATTAATTCTATTAAATAAAAAATTCTAATAAGGTGATATTTGTAATTTTTTAAATTATAAAAAATAATTTATATTTTAAATAAATATCAAAATATATATTTATAATTTATTCAAAATTTAAAGACATTAATCTTGTGCCAATGATTTACGGTTTCTTCACTAACCCTGGTTAGAGTATTGTACGGCCTTGGGTAACTATGTATAGCACAGCAGCCAATGATATGTACGGATTTAGATGGGTCATATTTGTCATATCATGCAACAAAGCAAATTGAATACCTCCACACAACCACGATGGAATCACATACCATGGGCGTGCCTTAGCCTCACCAGCCAATGATATGTACGGATTTAGCCGGGGTCATATGTTGTCATATCATACAACAAAACAAATTGAATACCACACACCATGATGGAATCACATACCATGGGCGTGCCTTAGCCTCACCACGTGAGGAATGATAAGGGTTCGGCTGATCTTACGGTGACATTAAAGCCAAGTTTGACTAAAAAAAGAAAGTATATTTATTTCATCTTTTTATTTTTTTGGGTCACATCAATCAACATCTTCTCTCTACTTTTTTTATATATAATATAAAAAAAGTCAAAAAATACACTTATTTAGTCTTTCCAAACTAGACCTAAGACTGAATTTATTTAGTTTGGCCAATGGGATTAGTGGCGGAGTTAAAAAATTAATTTAGAGAAGACACTTATTAATTATAATAATTTTTATAAAAATATTTTACGTAAATTTTTTACGATTAATTTTAAGAAACATAAAAAATATATATATATTATTTGTAACTAGTGTATCATGGACAATACCAAAAAAATATGGATATAAGCCTTAAAATAAATTATATAATGATAAATTATTTTTTGATACAAAATTTGATTAAAAATTTAATATAATGATAATACCACGCCATCATTGGTATGTAACATCACCCATTAATAGTAAATAAACGCATAAAGAGTGAACCTCACATGTCAAATATAACTACCAATCTAATAAATTTCATATCTTTATAGTGAGATTACTTATAATTGCATATCACTAATAATGACATCGTCGTTACATTCAAAAAATTTCATAACTAATATGGTTTATTTATAATAGTCTCTTCATTTTCAATCAAAATAACCATTATTATTTTCATAATTTTTAAAATGTCATTGACATTTCACTATAATAATATTTTTATAATTTTTTATTTAATTTTTTATTTATGTTTTTAAAAAAAAAAAATCCCAAAATCCAGGGGGCATGTGACCCCCTGGTCGCATGCTCCCTCCGCCCCTGCATGGGATTATTTTTGGATGTTGGTTTAATAATTCGAATAGTTCAATATGTAGAAATTGTCGAGTATTATATTTTTGTAAAAAATTATATTGATCGGATATCGATAACTATTTGATCGGATCAAATTTGTATTAAAAAAATAAACGTTGAAAAAATAAACAGTTGACAAAATACTGATCCGATTAAATAACTATTGATATCTGATCAATGTGATTTATTACAGCGTTCTACACATTAACGGTTCGAATTATCGAAAAGGAACTAAAAAATAAACTCATAAACTGGACTGGATGGATCCAGTTTTGATCTCAACTTGAAACAAGCTAGACCCAAATGATAATTTTTCAACAATATTACATATTAAAAAAAAAGAAAAATTACCAACACCCCTCGAGATTTGACTAAAATACGAATTCCTTTTGAAGTTTGAGAAATTACAAATTACCCCCTGAAGTTTATATTTACATAACATATGAGGTGACAATTTGCTATGCAAATATAAATCTCAAGGGACGGGTTGTAATTTCACGGCGGTGTTGATAATTTGCCCTAAAAACAAATATTCAAAAATGTACTTAGAAAAGTATATATCAATAGACCATAACTGTTGGGTGTGCTGCATGTACCTTATATTTTAAACCCCTACCACACATTGGGGGTGTTTATTTCAGTTTTTCAGAGCCAACTTATGGCTTTTAGCTTTGAAAAAGTTATTTTGGATTGTTTGGTTAAACTTATTTCAAACAGCTTCTGATTCTAACAACTTATTTTAACTCAAAAAAGCTGATTCTGAGAAGCTGCTCACCCCTTGCTTCTGATTATCAGCTTCTGCTGTGGACATGTTAATTTATGGTTATACTCTTAAATTTTTTTATTTTTTATTTTTTTAAAAATAGAAAAAGACTCAAATGGACTATAGATTGTTATTTTTTTTTTTATGAGAAATATAGACAAACAAAAAATAAAAATTAATTGAAAAAACTATTTCACAGCTTATTTAACAAACACTACTTAGTAACTTAAATCTATAATCCAACAGCTACACCAAACAGATTAACAACTTATGATTAAAGTCATAATCTATAATCTGTTAAGCTATAATCTATAAGCTGTTTTAACAGCTACACCAAACGGGGTCATTCTGGATAATTTTCAAAACAAAATTCATGCTAGATATAACAATTTTCAAAATTATTGATCTAGGCTAGGGTAAATTTTACCTCAATCATTCACAATACAAGGTCAGTCAAATAAAAAAA